AGGGGGGACTTACTAAGAGATTTAACTGGATTTCACACAAGATTTGTCAACATCACCTGCAACAGGGACAATTGAGCATACAAGTATGTTTCTTCTGTTTGCAAAGCCTGGAGTCTCCTTTTAAGCTCAGCTATGTACCTCATCTTTCTATCCTTTGACCTTGCGGCTGACCGTCTATTAGCCCGCCACATGACATAAAAGAGACACAAAAGTGAGAGTACACAATAGCTTCAAAAGATGCTCTCGTTCTTGCAAGAAACAAGTAGATGCTAAATAGCTGAAAAAACATCCGAAAAGCAAGAGAGAGAAGCGAAAGCAGCAGTACAAGTGCTAGGAGATTAGTCAGTACCAATAAAAAACTGAACATTATTCCATCCATGATATTCTTGCAAGTTTGGAATGGCACATTGTTACCAGACCCAGCCTAGCCATATGTTCTACTAAGTAGCTGGTCATCAGGTCACTTTTTAACAGAGTAGGTATCAGTTGCACAACATATTTATTATAAACATAAATATATAATCTGTCAATATAACAAACTACGAAAAAAATATGCATTTATTTGTATAACAAAATTCGTTTGAATTATATATGATTAATTAAATATAATGAAAAATATAAACTAATAACAATATGAAAGTACTCGATAATTTCTAACAAATAAGAAGTTAAAAGAATCTTACATATTATTTGTACAAAAATATACGAAATCGGGATTTGGCTGGAAAAGAAGCAAAGCTATGGATACCATGACCGATCACCATCGATAAATAAAAATCAAATTTAGTATATTAGCAAGACATAATATATACAAAACGATAAGAATGGTAAAAAATAAAACTGTTTATTGACCATGTTTTAAAATTATTCCATATTATTTACAGGGACATGTCGTCTAATGTAACCCAGTTGGTCAAAAACTGTGTCAAACGAGTTTTGGCAACAAACAGTCAATTAACTAGGTTTCTTAAGCAGCATTCAATTTAAGCTTATGCACATTCACAACTTTTAAGTTTGACACTGTCCTTGGACTTAGCTTCCAAGACTCAGCTCCTTGGCTCCACTCTCAGGGACAAAGCAAGGAATTATTTTATTGTGTGCACTATTGCTATGCAGTTGAACTGACAATGCAATACAATTTTACTTTTACCACCAATGCACTGCATAAACACCAAATTATAACATGAATTAACTCAATTGAGCCTATTGTGGACATAAACAAATTGCCATCATTGCTAATAGAGTCCATCAGAATTGCACTAATCTGTCTTATTTGTCAAAGTTTGAAAAAAAAAAAACCTTTACTGCTTCATCCAATGGTGTGTTTTTAAGAAGAAAATAAGGGTGGAAAACATCATTTAGCAGTTTTTATGGAGTCTACCAGGGAAAAAAAATAAAAAATAAAACAAAACAAAATCAACGTTCTCGAGAAAGGCTAAGAATTGAATTCCGTTGCATTCAATGCATTGACGAAGTACAAATCGTTCACCTATTGAATGACTTCAATATCACTTCGAAGGATGATGCCCTAGTAAATAATCTAAAACCTACCTTTGAGTAAGTTGGCCAACTATAAAATCATGTCTGCATGTTTGTATTTTAAACACAGGATGTTCGAAATCACATTGTTCTTTACTTGCAGCCCAGTTTCGAAAGCTGCAGTAGGCATCACCAACACTCATTGGATATCTACTTTTAGGAACAATTTAAAAAGTTCAAATGAGAGAGTCGTCAAAAGTGTGAAAGTTGAAACAGCCTAGTTCTACACTCTGAAGTCAGTGTCATCTCAAGTCTGAACCTTTTACTTTCAATTTTTCTTCCATTCCTTTTTTCTTTTTTTAATTTATTTTGGGAGAAGCCAAAGAGTGGTGAAGAAGATGATAAGGAAGAATGGAACCAAAACCATCCTGCAAAGATAGCTAAGGATAGACTGTTACCGTCTATTAAGTGCACTTGTCGTTCCAATGTTTGCAACTCCAATTTCAGTTCACTGTTTTGAGCAGTAAGGTCACCTGTATCTTTCTGTTTGGGAGAAGCAAAGAATAGGTAATTACATAACATCATTCTTGTATTTATATATAGAGTGCATAACAATAGTGAATTGAAAGGGGAGAAATGCAAGTAGTAGAAAAATCAGTTCTTGAGGCCAAGCACTATGACCTATAAACTACATCTTTTCCCTTATTGGTATGCCTTATTATTGTATTTTTTTCCTCCTATAAAACATCAAGTGCTATCTATAACATGGGAGGGAGGGAAAAACAACCGCTCACTACCAGAGTATATGACAACCTCCTGGTAGCAGAGTCCTAGACTCCTGGAGGATAAAAATGCCGTTCTAAATCAGTCAAGGACCAATAGAGGAGGTAGTTTTCGTTTCCTTTTTCTTTCTTTCATGTCCTGTTAGTTTTTTGGTCTGTTTGCATGTGCCTGCATGGGGGGGGGGGGGGGGGGAAGGGGGG